CCAGTATTCAGAAGGATTTGCCAAGATTGTAGTACCTTTGCATAAATTAACTGAGAAAAAGTTTGATTGGAATACAGAATGTGAGATTGCTTTCCAGGAATTAAAAGAGTGTCTGAAGTCCACTTCCAGTACTAGCAAATCTACAGGAAACAGGGGAATATGTGCTGGATACGAACGCAAGTGAACCAGGTATTGATGCTGTCTTATCACAGGTCCAAGATGAACAAGAAACGGTTATAGCATATGGCAGCAGTTTTCTCAGTACAACGGACAGGGACTATTACGTCACAAGGAAATAATTATTGCCATCGGTGAATTTTACGAGATACTACAGACAGTACATGTATATGAGTAAATCAGGGCTAATCACGATCCCCAAAATTGCAACAATGATTGCAAGGCCCCTTCATAAGAGTCGAAAAACTGCCTGATGTTGTTTATAAAATATAAAAAGTGAAAAGTGGTGAAACGAAGATATTTTTGATCACATGAAACCCTATAACAGTGAAGAAATAAAGAATTTGCTGACATACAGTGAACCCGAGAAAGCGGCGGAAGCTATCTGAATACCATCGGAATACCATGAATTGGTGACGCCGAAATTAATAGTTGCTGACACTGTCGAAGCAGAACAGGAGATAACTCAATTGGATGCTGAACCGATAATATGGCGCGAAGCCAAAGGAAATGGTAACGGGAAAACTGGAACGATGGAGAATGAAAGTAAACTCACCCAAAAAGACTCGGAAGAAAATGCCAACAGTTCGGAGCAGCCAGGAAAAGCTGAAACGCGTAGAAATCCCCCAAGAACGAGAAAAATATCTCGTAAGTTTCTTTATAGTAAATAAGGGAACAAAGATGGCATATGATGACGTCATGGTGGCATATAGTGGTCGTTCACAGAGATTAGCACGAAATAGCCCAATATGATGCGTCATTCTTGCATGCGTAATTTGTAGAATCCATTGACAGGAGAAACATTTTTCGACTCCTAATTTGCATATTAGTAAAATTCGGCCTCCCACTACAGAAAACCTGAGACACAATTGCCTTTACTGAGGTGAAGAAAGAGACGAGGAAAAAGGTGTCAAGGCAGTTAGAAAAGTGAATGGAATGGTGAAAGGATGTGTTGGGAGAAAGGTATAGACTTGAAGAGATGACAAAAATCAACAGGCGATCACAGTAACATGTGGGAGATATGATGCTATGTTTAGGTCGGTGGAGCGAATAAAAGACCATGTGGCGCGGCACCATGGAAAAATAACAATCGTAAAGGCGATCCGTACATCAATCAACGAGATTACATATAGTAAAAGAAACGTACGAAAACTACATCATTGATAGGGGTGGCAATGACTGTTAGCAAAAAACTGCACAATTATACTTTACTCCGAATCCAAATGACTCTGGGTTGGTTGCAAAGTGTCCCCAGGTGTCGAAAGATGGAAGAAGAAGAAAAGGATGGAGAAGAATCTGCGGAAGCGTAGCCAAGAGAGCATCCGGTAATTAAATCGAGAGGGAAACATATGGAGGTGAAACAAGCATATGAGAACGCTTGTTAAGGAGGGAAAATATCACGAGACTCTGACTCAGCATCGGACCCAGAAGCAGCGGAAGGGGGGGGGGATATGTGACAGGCAGAACATCAGGACGCAACCACACAGACCGGGGAGATGCAGAGGTGTTGTGAAGAGGACCGTTGGAGAGATTGGATGAAAGTAAAAATTATAAACCAGTCAGAGTGCGATTCTGTTGAATCAGATGAGGAGGACACACAATAGAACTGAACTATAAACTGTGAGTGAGCAATCCCACATGGAAAGTTTGCACTGCCCTGAATATATGTAACTATATTTAGATGATATACTTATTCATATTATGATTTAGTGTAACTAGAAATTAAGAAGTAGAAAAACCTGTGCGTGAAGGGAGCTGAAGGGAGAAGACTTATAAGATAAGCTCGCTACCAGATACGTCGACACTGTAATTGAAAAACATGGACATTCGATATTATTCAAAAAATAAATCAAACCTGCACGTTGTTATATTTTTGAAAATTTTAGTCAAGCATTGATGTATATATTTTCCACATGAAAGAGTATCGTATTTAGGAAAACGCATGCAAGTTAATTTACAAAGTAGTGGTATTGTCAGCATCCTGTTAATTTTATGTTTTAGTCATATTACCTCAAACCCTGCAAATATAAGTGTACATGGAATCATGGGAAGAAACGGTGTACATTGCCGTGTGATAACTGTCATAAAGGTGATTGACAGGTCATACTTGTTTTCAACTCTGGAAGGACAGTTGGAATCTACCAGGTGTGCTTGTGATTTACATAACAAAGGGTGTTTACAACTTTGGAAGGAGATTTGGAATCTACCAGGTGTGCTGTTATTTGAATAACAAAGGATGTTTATGATCTACTGAGTTGCCTACATAACACAGCTTCTAACAAGATCACATTCTGATTGGCTCATATGGAAACCCAGGTTGTGTCACTGAATCATGCCTATAAATTAGACAAACAGAGGACAGTTGGGGTCCATCATTTCAACTTAGTATCCTGTGTGTGCTACGATATTGTTAATCAAGTGGTACAGGCTTCAACCATTATTCTGTGAGACTTGTATGAACTGCTCTGCGATCACTTGTTTTCAGCGTTGCCCTCCAGAAGCAGGATTCCTGTATTTCTTCGTTTTTATGTTGCAGAAGCTATTGACTATTCTCCATGTCTACATTTTGGAACTGCGGGTTATCACCAATGGACACTTCTCTAAGAAATCTCCTATTTTAGTGACTTTATTCATTGTATTTTCTGTGTTTTGTTTCTTGTAATTATTTTGAGAGGCATTAATCCAGGAACTTTAACGCGATATTTTGGTGTATGTGTATTTCATTTTCAGTACTAATGTCTTGTCTACCCCATTCTATCAGTGAAAGACCCCCTGTCCTGTGTGAGTTCTGTGGGTGGCCCTCTCAATTGCGATAAGCAGGCCTCACACTGTGACAGATATTTATTGAATATTCATTTATATGGGACATATAATTGTCGCACCTATGTTACATTGTTATATTTAATGTAGTCAGTGTTAATATATTCTATATTTCTTGTGTTTATATCCCGACTATGATTGGCGTAATAATATTGTTTGCTTCTAGATGCCAATCCAGAGATCCTAAAACTACCAGCATGTGGTCCAGACATGGCTATTCCTGTATTTGACGGTTATTGGACAGACAATGATACATACGTGTCCATGGTTTGTAGAAGTCAGCAATGGACGCAGTCGCAGATTCAACAGTGTATTTCCAGGAAATTAATATTCAAGATGGCCGGCGATTCCACACTCAGTCAACTAAGTTGGGCACTTAATAATCGCCCAGGTGCCCTCAGAGCATGGACGCATGGTAGTGAATGCGTAGGAAATGCTCTACGAATAGGACCGCAATCACATTATGTGTGGAACTACACTTTCGAGAGCGAGTTTCTCGACAAAATTGATTCTGACTTTTGTAGTAATAACTATGTTGTTGTTGTATTTAATCTCATGTTTCACTATGCAACGTGGTCGATAAGGTCTTATGTAGACAGGCTTATGGTAACTAAATTAGCATTAGAACGATTTTTTAAAAGGTGTCCTACCGCTAAGGTTTTCTTTAAATCTGCTCATGCAAGAGACAACATAAATAATTTGCAAAACTTACATAGCGGCAATTTTATATTTTACGATTATGATCGCATGATACGCCGTGTTTTTGGTGGGATGGGAGTTCACTTTCTGGGTGTTTGGGACATGGCATTATCTCATTTCTCGAAACCTGACGTGCATATGGATATGAAAGTAATATTGCAGGAAGCACACTTACTCTTATCCTATGTATGTCCAGATCTAGTCGAATAATACAATGCTCAATATATGCACTAAATGTTGTTCTACATACGCCCAGGTTTGGTTGAAATTTTAAAACTGTGTTTTAGAAAGTCCTTCTAAAATTAAGTCTTGCAAACACCAAAACACGCATGCAAATGGTCTTGAGTTATTCCAACAATGACATATGCTTGATTTAGTGTTTAGGATTCACAGGTTTGTTTCTACCAGGTGCATGTTAGCTTTAGTGCTCTAATATGAATTTGTTGTCAAATTGATTTTTTAATTTCTCATAGTAGTGAAAATAATTAGTGTAAGATATTCTGTATATATGTGAAATGCATTGATATGTATGTTAAGACTACATTCAATTATATTGCTCTTCTATATATTCTTATGTTCAGATCTGGCTGAGTTATACTGCCCTTTCTTATATATACATACGTTCAGATCTTGTTCAGTTATACTGCTCTCCTTTATATATCCATATGTTCAGATCTGTTTGAGTTAAACTGCTCCCCTGTACATCCATATGTTTAGATCTGGTTAAGTTATACTACTGAAGTTAAAATGTTGTTGAATGTGTCATTTAATCGCTTTATTATGGGTTAGTACGATATTATTCTACACAATGAATAAATTGCATTAAATATATAGAATATAAATATATAGAAACAATGCCTCTTGTACATTTGGCTTAATAATATGGAGTTCAACAATACATTAAGATATACAGTGTACCAAACACCAACATGTTGAGGAATTGTTATGTTTTGAGTTTCCCAAAAGTTTAATCTGCTTTTAGATACTATCAGATTACTGATAGTTGTCTAATACCTGTATCACCAGTAACATATTTCCAGGGAGCACACTTACAGATGTACTTAGCAACATCACCAGACACTTTCCTGAGCACGTGATTAACCTATATCAAAACATCGAACACGGTATATTTAAATATTTAAATGTTTTAATTTCGTTTTAATAATACACACAACACACAAAATATTACATTAAATATTGGTATATGGAGAGAAAAATTAAGAAACAAACAAATTAATAAATAAATACAAATACATTGTTGATCAGGTATAACATACAATTACCTTTGTCCAATATCTGGGCAATTATCTAGTGGTTTCCATTTCTGGTAATGAATGAGCTTTTTGTTTTTGTTTATTGCGATTTATAGTTCAATATTTCTAATTGCCCTGACCCAACTTTTCAGATAGACTGTACTATAGCCATTTTTAGAAATCTATTGTTTCATAATATTTGTTTATGAATTTCAGATGTTTTTGGAGTGTTTGATGTCAATGATGACCATTCCCAGATAATATAGTAAAAGGGTGGGATTTGATTTTCAAATTAAGATTCGTCGTAGTAACAAAAAACACATTTTTCAAAAGTTTCTTCAATATATTCTACCATCTTGCATGACTTCTAGAAACAACCCAATTAACTCACACAATATGTTGTGCTTTAAATAGGAGTCCTCCTAAATCATATTTAACCCACTCCTTTCTATATCTGAAATACGGGGGGTTTCTTTTCAATTTTATCGTTTCCATTCCAAATATATTTGTAAATAATAATTTTGATTTGTTTATAATAGATTTTGGCACTGTAATCATTGATGCTAAATATATGAATTGGGAAAGGTCAACGGGTTAAAGGATCTGTATTTTTCCGAATATTGAAAGCTTTCTCTTAGACCATAACGTATATACTCACTTTAAACTATTCATTTTCTTTGTAAAGTTTTCTTCAATACACTTGTCAGATGCATAGATAAAACAAATCCCAGGATTGTCATTCTATTTTACCATTTAATATTTACTTTATTCAACAAAAGTGCATCAATTCTATTTAGATTGAATACTGAACATTTTCCACATTTGTTAAGAGGTGAGCTTAATTGTACAGGTTATGTAGTCAGCATACCTTACTAACTTAATACATTTGTTTAAACCAATACCTTTTATATATTATTTCGAATACTATATGCAAGTAATTCCACCACTGTTATAAACAGATAAGCCCTCAATTGACGTGTCCAGTTCATGAAGTTTTTTTGAGCTTTTGATTTTCAATAGGTCATCGTAAATCGTCTTATTTATACTTGAGATACTCCCAAAAAATCATTGGGTCTTTTCCTGACAGCTCAAACTCGCACCCCCTGATGTGAATGGTTTGACTTAGGACGTAATTCCTATCTTTACACAAAGAATTATTAAATTTCTTTCATTATTATAAGACTGACCATGTCTGCCCCATGAATCACCCGCGATACCCGAGTGTATTTGAAGAGTGATCTGAACAGTTGAACGGTTGAAACCTACTGACTTCACAAAATCATGCAGGGAATCAGAAATAACCCAAGATTCGAGACGACATTGTATAACATGAGAATTGTTCTCTATTTGAAATGTTGGCTGCTAGGATTGTGTATCCGCCTGATGTCAATTAGATCAACATCAGAGAGTTTGTCATTAACTTTGTCTATTAGTTGTTTTTCGTATTTTAGATTTCCGCCTTGTTTGTCCAGTGTAAGGCAGACATTGAAATCCCCTCCCAAAATTAATTGCTTATCCTCGTCTAACAGGTTATTTAAACTAGATCATCACAAATCATAAAACGGGAATTGTACGCTGAAGATATTGGTGCATAGATGCTTCCCAATTT